TCTGCTGGGCCTCAGGCTCAGGCTGCCTGTAGCCTGCACCTGTTGCAGAGATTCCTCTCATTCTGGGCCCCACTCAAAGCCAGCAGTCTTTCAAGGTACTTAATAAATGGGTTGAGGTAGAATATCCAAGGAGGTATATGTTGTCTCCAAATTTAAGAAGAAGCTCATAGGTCTTGGACTTGTCTCTTATGAGTAAGAGGTCAGATGGAGTGACATGTCTTCATCTTGGGGGACCTGCCTCAGCGTGCCTCAGGTAGCTGGACTCCTAGAGATTTTACTGAGGCAGCAAACCTGAATTTAAGGACGATTTATTTCCCATTCTCTGGAACACGTGGTCTCACAAACTGGAGTATTTGCTCCTCCATGTTGAACAGGTGCAATCAGTGCATCATCGATGTGAAGGACCCAGGTGACGTTTTGTGCCATGGAGACACGATCATGGTCCCTGCCGACTAGCTGACAGAGGGCTGCAGAGTCAGTACAGCTCTGAAGTTGGGCAGTGGACATGCACTGCTGACTCTTTGCAATACACATGTAGAAGATATGCTTTTCCCAGACCAGTAGCTGCACACAAGTGCCAGGGGACCTATGGATTTTCTCTAGTAATAAAGCCTCAAGAGGGAGTTGAGGCTCTTCAGCTGAAATGGAAACCCCCACCTGATTTACAAGAATCCACTGCTGTTCTCCACAGTCCATCTGTTTTCTGCACAGGTCAAATGGGGGAATGGAACAAGCAGGTGGAAGTCCCGATAGAGTCACCGATCCTGGCACTTTCTCCAGGTATGCGGAATTACTTTGGTGTCACTATTCTGTTAGGGTAGGCGATTCCAGTGCTGTCCACGTTGCCTTTTCTTCCATCGTATCTCTTATTCCATCAGTCATGAAAGCCGCTCCAGTTGCTGGGGATGTCTTTACACCTGGAGCTCTCCTGACCTCATGAAGGACCTGCAGGGTGCGTTCAGACACCCAGCCATTAACCGCCTCATCTCCTTTAGTCTGCCAGTCTTTACACAGGCAGATTAAACAGTGAGTTCAACAGTGAGTGTCTCAGTAGAAAAAAACCCCACAGGCCACAACATGTTACTACGTTACCAAAAGATTATGGTACCCAGGAGTTTCAAATAAGTGGCTAACTTACATGTGAAACCTATTATATATTACCAACACATTCTTGTCTGTTTGTGCCTAAATAAATAATTGTCCCCATCGGGGAAGGACGTGAACTTCAGAATTTTTCATAAGGCTTTTGTAGACAAACAGAAGTTAAGCAAATAAAATGTCTCATCAAATTATAAACTTCATCTTTTTCATTGCTTAGTCCAATCAGCAGCACCTCTCACACTGTGCTCCAGCACGTAAACCACAGTAAGGACATTTACATAAGAAATAGGTACATTATTAATAATACATGGTGCATAATTGATTAGTTGGCCATCAATGCTTAATTTAAGAATATTATCAATGGATAGTAAATTAATAGAACATCAGTGATGAGACTTATTAAGGGATACATTATTAATAGTAATATGATTCATTATTAAGTACTTTGTCACCAATGCTTAGTTTAAAAATATTTATTAATTAATAATAAATAGACAACATATCTGTGAGAAAACTAAAGGGGGATACATTTCTAGTGGTGACATTAGTAATTATTGATTAATTTCTCATTGATATTTAACTTAAAATAATTATTAATACATGATAGATTGATAACATACAGTGAGAAGACTAATTAGGAAAAATTATAACAGTGAAATTGAAGACTTATTCTAAATGTACAAAATGATAATAATGAACACGTGACTCAACTATCCTGCATGCAGTTTGGCAGAGTTGGGTGGTGAGTTTCGGAAGCAGGACGACTTCCCTGCTGACTCCTCCTGGAGGGACGAGAGGGAAGAGCCCCGAGGTCTCACTGACTAGGAGGATGCTGTGGGTGGGTGAGCAACCAGCACCCTCAGTCCGTTTTTCCATATTGAAACTTTCACAGGAAGCAAAACAGCTATTTCCCAACACCTCGGCCCCTGCAGTGGTCCCAAATAAGATGCCTGACTTCTCCTTTTTAGAAAACAAGTTCTACCTGTCATAAGCCCTAGTTCTGTGTTTCAGACATTTCCCAGATGTGTCATGGAAGAGAGACAGCCCAGTGCTGCGTTTAAGGCTGAAGGTCAGAGTGCAGTGTTCTCTGCCCCGGGTGCTGCCTCTCCCCACACTTCAGTGTCTGTGTTCATCTCCGTATCTTGTGAGGCCATGGAATCCTGTTTGGATCATCCTGTTTGAAGCAGGAGTGTGAATGGGGACCTTCAGGGTGACTTTCTTACAGCTGTTGGTCACAGCAGGTGCTGGTGTGTGGAGATGCCTGAGGGCAGATGGAGGAGGGACTCTGCAGAGGAAGAAACTGTGAGAGAATCCCAGGGAAGAGGTTTGTCCAGTGACACCTCGTGATTAGGTGCTAGGTTACCATTCGTGGGGGAATGCCACTCGGGTGACAATTGTCCTCATCTGTTCCTTATTGGTGGTTTTTGCTTTGACAGCATCGTTAATTTGGCATCCACCAGGTTTCTCCACAGTGAAGTTGTTATGTGTCCTTTGTAATCAACAACTGTTTTCTAGGGAGATACTTTGAGACAATGTGAATATCATATTCCTCTTTCAATTTTCACTTCCTAATTTAAGCAGATGCTGACTGTTATGCAGTAGCAAAAGCTTTCTCTTCTCCCAAATATATTCACATATATAAAAATAATATTGTGTATAATTTCCCAGTGCTTTTACTTTTTATTTTTTAAATTTACAAATATAGGAGGTACAAGTGCAGTTTTTATTTTTTTATTATTTTTTTTTATTTTTGAGACAGAGTCTCACTTTGTTGCCCAGGCTCGAGTGAGTGCCGTGGCGTCAGCCTAGCTCACAGCAACCTCAAACTCCTGGCTCCACATGATCCTCCTGCCTCAGCCTCCTGAGTAGCTTGGACTACATGCATGCGCACCATGCAACAGGCTATATATACTTTTTCTATACATACTACAGGGGATCTTAGATATGAGCCAATATAAGATTTTTCTATTTATAGAGAGAGAGTGGGGTCTCGCTCGTGACAACAAAGCTAGATTTCGAACTACTGAAGCTCAGAGCCAATCCGCCCGCCTTGGCCTCCCAGAGTGCTAGGATATACAGAGACGGCGAGCACACAAACAACCGCGCCCC